GGTCTCGTCTCAGAATCATCAGAATCATCTTGTCTTGTCTTGGTCTCAGACTAGACGGACTCTGGATAAGAGAAACAAATAATCTGTGGGTCCTGATGAAGGCTGCACGACTTCTGAAGGCCGTTTCCCTCGTTCTGTACTGAACCGGAGTATTTTTAGACTGACCCACTTCTGAGCTCGGCTCGTTTGGCTTCAGATGTTTGTGTCAACAGAGAGAGAGAGAGAGAGAGAGTCCAATTAGTGCTCCAGAAACACACAGAACATTATTGATTCTTCTGCTGACCCGACGAGGGCCAGGGAACGCAGCGGCAAAGCTAACAGCGGGGGGCCGGGGGGGGGCTTCAAATCAGTCCCCGATGAGAAAACTATCAGCGCTTTGATTCTTGGTGTTCAACTTCAGTAGAGAGCGTACCTCCAAACTCTGAAGCTGCTGCTACTCGAGCCCCCCCCTCCCTTCAGGACCCCATGAAATAAGTGATCCAATTTAAGTGATCATTGATAAAATCAGAATTTGCCTACACAATTGTTCTTACCTAAAGACCTTTGTATGAACGATGTAAATGTTTAAACATGATAATTTAAACGACCTCAGAGCCGACCAAGCCTCACGCCCCCCCCTGAGATCTGTGGCGCCCCCTCTAGGAGGGCCTGGACCCCAGGTTGGGAACCACAGCTCTAAAGCACTGTTCACACAGGATGAGTATTACCTGGGGACCTCCGTGATTTTGGAACCTCCCCGAAAATCCGTGATTTGTGCGGTGCAGTCTCACAGGTAAAACAAAGTGTGTAATTAACCTCCAATGAGGCGCTGCATGACATCAGCCTTGTATCAGGGGGGGGAGAGACTTTAGGAGGAGCACTCGAGGAACTGCAGGATCTTACACTTATCAACCGGCTTCATTTTTCCACACCACATGTTGCTGCTTGGTCATAACCTGGGGGCCCCCCTGTGATAACCCCGGGCCCCCCCTTAGGGGTCCCTCGCCCCACATTCTGAATCTGATGTTTGGGTTTAACCTTCATATCGTTTATTGATTTAGTCATTTGTTGTTTTATTACATGTGAAATAAAGATATCAATCAATCAGATGTTTAAAAAGAGTCGGTGACTCAGTCCTGACTCTCTGTCGTTCAGATGATTCTTCTGTGTGAGTACTAACTTTCCTCTTTGCTGCTAGCTGTTTGATGAAAATGTCTCAGCAGATTAATCGGCTCAGACCTCCTGCTCTCTGCTTGTTTAGCTGACGTCTCTGCAGACTGATGGAGTCTGACTGACTGCCTCTCACTCTCTCTCTGCTCCTCCTCTCACATCACTCATTCATCCTGAGCCTGAGCTCTAACTGTCACACTGTCAAACCAATCAATTCCTCCAAAATTTGGTTTAAGTAAAACTTTTTATTTTGAAGAAGAAACCAAGCTGCAATCCCCATAGAGCTCCATGCTAACGTTGCTAACTGGACTTTTTACATGCTCACACATACAAACACAGTTCCTTTCCCACTATGTTGACGAGCAGAGACACCTGAGTGGACGACAGAGGTCGCCGGTTAAGATGAGACTTGGTGGGAAACAACTTTGAAAATGAAAATGAAATGGTAATTTCAGAGGATTAGAGAGGACATCATTGTTCACTTGGTGTGCTCGTCACAGCTGTGAAAGTTTGTTTTTGTGTTTTCATGAGGACGAAGATGATTTTGAGAACTGAGCGTGTGGACGTAAGTATTTGAAGGAAGAAGGAGTGGGCGAGGCCTCAGATTGTAGAAACATGTCAGAATAAAACGATTTTTATCCGTACAAACTGATTGATGAGGACGGTTGGGCTCCATTAATCATTTCTGAAACCTTTGTTTCAGACTCATTAAACCACTGATTTAGTCATTAACAGAAGTGCGTCTGTTCATGTATTTTTTTAAATTTTATATCTTAACTTCTACCTTCCAACCTGCAGACGGATTTCAGTCTGACTGAATGAACACTATCACGCAGAAGAGATGATTCCTTAGTGCCTCCATCAGGTCATCTCAACACAGGACAGGTGTAACGTGAAAAAAGGACGTAAAAGACGTCCACCAGCCAACATGGCCGACGTACGACGAGCAGCAGATTCAGAGCAGAGAGACAAAGTTCAACACTTTCTCGCAGATTTATTTTTGGGCTTTTTGTGCCTTTAATGGAGAGATAGGGCAGTTGATAGAGCTGGAAATAAGGGAGAGAGAGAGTGGGGAATGACATGCGGGAAAGGAGCCACAGGCGGGACTCGAACCTGGGCCACCCACCCAGAGGACCACAGCCTCCACATATGGGGAGCGCACACTAACCACTGTGCCACCAGCACCCCCAGTTTCTCTAAATTTGAGCTGAACTTCAGCTGGCTTCAGTTAGCTTTCAGTCAGCTTTGCACACAAACAAACGTCCTTCAGAGACACTCTGACACTGAGGACATTTCAGAGACGGCACAGTTCGACACTTTAACTGCAGAAAACATGAAGAATCATAACTTGTATTTTAACCAGAGAGTCAAGTGTCTGTTCTTCTGCTGTAGTAAAGTATGTGTGCACTTTTTCCACCTCGGACATCCTTTAATCAAACTGTCAACAGATTATATTCACTTCAGTGTCAGGGGGATGTTTTCTTCTGACAGCTCTGTAAATAATGAAAGAGGTAGAAAAGACTTGGGGGGGTTTTCTCCTGACCACACAGCTCTCTGATGAAACATCCAGCAGTCAGATTTCTTCAGCATCATCTCGCTGATAGCAGCGCTGCAGGTGAGCGGGGTCTATCCCTGCTGTAGAGATCTACATGAGTCTGCTCTATGACTCACTGTGACCTTCATTAAGATGTGAACTGTGTTATTCACTCTCTGTGGGATTATTTCTTAATAAAGGATTGCAATATTACCACTGTTATTCATAGATGTGTCCAATTATGTTACAGCAAGAACCTCCTGAACAGTGAAGTGTGTTCTCAGGCTCTGATTCACTAAGAATCATCAAAGTCTCTAATGTCTCCATAACGCCTTCATCATGTTCTCCCTCTCTCTGCTTCGTCCCTAGGTCTAACTTTCAAAGCATAAACATACTGTATATGTAGCTCTGATGACCTTCAGACACAAACACGGTTAGCTCTAGTTGGAGAATGTGGAGAGAAGCAATCTGCACTCTCACTCTGATGGAGCTGTACTCTCATACTGACTGAGCTGCACTCTCACACTGACTGAGCTGTACTCTCACACTGACGGGAGCTGCACTCTCACACTGACTGAGCTGCACTCTCATACTGACGGAGCTGCACTCTCATACTGACTGAGCTGCACTCTCACACTGATGGAGCTGCACTCTCACACTGACGGAGCTGCACTCTCATACTGATGGAGCTGTATTATTGTAAATATTAAATTTAATATGAGACAAGCTCATTTAGCTCATCAAACCTTGAAAGTGTTTTTATTCTTCAAAGTGTTTCCATTTAAACCGAGATCCTCGTGAGCGCTGCGTTCCTCTTCTGACTCCTCACATGTGTGACAATTGAGTTATGCTCACAGCACTGAGGTGTATAACTTTAGTTTATGAGGAGATACTTTAAGACACACACTGTCAGGAGGTGTCAAGGAAAGGGGGCAGCTGGGGGGCGTTTAGGTGCACACCTCCCCAGAGGAACTTGGGGAAGGGGGGCAATAAGAAAGCATTGATGATCTCTTTGTAGTCTATATTCAGTAGATTGTAGTTTTTACACTGCAGACCTATCATCCTAGGCTCGCCGTGTGATAAACAGAAAAACCTGTTTAACAACTGCTTCCATCGCTGCAACACCTGTTGGTTTGACCTGATAACTGCTCTCATATCTGGCAAACTGAGGGACGTCCAAAACGGCCGTATGGGGGTTAATGTCTGATCATATAGTAAGGTCACTTTATCATTTCACTCACTACACATCTCACTGATTGGACCTTTAAAGTAGTTACAGTTTAAAAGTTTGTTTCGCAACTTCACAGAAACACTCAGTGAAATGTGTAATAATGATGGAATCTAAACTCGGGGTCTGTTTTTAAGGAAATAAATGAAATTGAGCTGAAAGGAGTGAAAACGGTGTGAATAAGGAGCTGCATGCTGTGGAGGCTGAAAGATCTCCTCTGAGCTGCACATAAACCCTAATGAACAGTAAAGAGGTTTGTTTGGCTTCAAATTAACTCTGAGTAATGGATCGCTGCTCGTGTCTCCCTCAGGCTGAAGTCGTTTCAGGATTAACCTGCAGATAGAGCGTCTCTGATGACTCAATAACCTCTCGTCTTTATTCCCTCTTAGGCCATCTCCTTCCTCACGCCGCTGGCCGTCATCTTCGTGGTCAAGATCATCCAGAGGACGGACCGCACCGAGATCAAGGAGGCCTGCTTAGGTACGAAAGACAAAAAGAAAGTTATTTGTGTTTGTCACAAACTGTTGAAACACAAGAGCAGACACAGAAAGGGTGGACTTTAAAGGTCTTACATAATAATCACAAATATTTAAGCAGCGAGGCATCCATACCTCCTCCCCTCAAAATAATAATAATTTTTAAAAGTCCTGAACAAGCTGCACTCTAAGCCCCTCCCCTCTGCCTGCTCAGGACAGGATTTTTGTTGCCATGGTTTCAAACAGAAATGGATAACCTTTTAATCCTCATCTTGAGCTCACACATCACAGGAAACGTAGAGACGACGTTTCCTTGAGCTTCAGCTCATTCTGACTTCATGGAGTCACGAGTTGTGTTTGAACTGATGGATCCTCTCAATGTAACAATGATGTTTTAAAGTCCTAAATGGCCAGGCCCCGCCCTCTATCTGGGACCTGCTCACCGGGCAGACCGCTGCTTGAGTTAATAATTTTTAAAAGGCCTGAACAAGCTGCACTCTAAGCCCCTCCCCTCTGCACCCGCCTTTTGTTGCCATGGTTTCAAACAGAAATCGATAACCTTTTTAACTTTTACTAGACTTAAAGAAGTTTAAAATCTTGTTGTCGTGACGACCATATTTCAGGTGTAATTTATAAGAAAGATGTTTGTGTCTATTCCTCAGGTTTCAGTTCTTATGTTCACCTTTAAAGGATTCTAAACTCAGTTATTAAAGCCACATATCCTCCATCTCTCTAACCCGGTGCTACAGTCGGTTTGGTCCCTGACGGTGAATCGCTGCGAGAGTTTAAGCGGTGTTTAAAACGATGTTTGGGAGATAAAAAGTCTCAAACAGCAGCTGCTGCGTGCTCCCTCCGGGTCTCAGGCCTGCAGACGCTTCTGCAGATCACAGAGCATTAAGAAAGTTAAACAGAAATCCAATTAAAGAGACACACCGAGATGAATCAGTCTGTGTGTGTGTGTGTGTGTGTGTGTGTGTGTGTGTGTGTGTGTGTGTGTGTGTATGTGTGTGTGTGTGTGTGTGTGTCTGTGTGTGTGTGTTTGTGTGTGTGTGTGTGTTTTGTGTGTGTGTGTTTGTGTGTGTGTGTGTGTGTGTGTGTTTGTGTGTGTCTGTGTGTGTGTCTGTCTCTGTGTGTGTGTGTGTGTGTGTGTATGTGTGTGTGTGTGTGTTTGTGTGTGTGTGTGTGTGTGTGTGTGTGTGTGTGTGTGTGTGTGTGTCTGTGTGTGTCTGTGTGTGTGTGTCTGTTTGTGTGTGTGTGTGTGTGTGTGTTTGTGTGTGTGTGTGTGTGTGTGTGTCTGTCTCTGTGTGTGTGTGTGTGTGTGTGTGTGTGTGTGTGTGTGTATGTGTGTGTGTGTTTGTGTGTGTGTGTGTTTGTGTGTGTGTGTGTGTGTGTGTGTCTGTCTCTGTGTGTGTGTGTGTGTGTGTGTGTGTGTGTGTGTGTGTGTGCGTGTATGTGTGTGTGTGTCTGTGTGTGTCTGTGTGTGTGTGTCTGTCTGTGTGTGTGTGTGTTTGTGTGTGTGTGTGTGTGTGTGTGTGTGTGTGTGTGTGTGTGTGTGTGTGTGTGTGTGTGTGTGTGTGTGTGTGTGTGTGTGTGTGTGTTCAAATTACGGCTGTGTAAACTAACAGGCCCATTACGGCGCTCAGCTCTTCTGCAGAGAAACAACATGGAGACGAGCAGAGAATAAAGGAGCCAATTATTCTGACTCTTTCCTCCGTGTTCAGTTTGAACACTCTGATCCTACGCCGCCTCCTGACCTGATGAGAAATATCATCAAAGCAGCGTTTTCAGCCCGCTCTGCAGTCTGAAGGAGATTATTCTAACTTCCTACAAACCTCTTTAATCCTCATCCTGAGCTCACACATCACAGGAAACGTAGATGTCCATATTTTTCTGCTAGTTGACGACGTTTCTTTGAGCTTCAGCTCATTCTGACTTCATGGAGTAATGAGTTGTGTTTGAACTGATGGAACCTCAGATGTAACAATGATGCTTTAAAGTCCTAAAGCCAGGCCCCGCACTCTATCTGGGACCTGCTCACCAGGCAGACCGCTGCTTGAGATCCTCCAGGACCCGAAAGCGGTTCCTAAAACAGGTCACAAAAGGTGACACAGCTGACGCCCTTCCTGCCTGGAGATTTCTAACTACACTTCCCCATGTTCCTCTAACTCTAATATGTGTCTCTAGTCTGTCTACAAACCCCCCAATGATGAGAAAAGTCCATCCTCTCCATCTTCTGCCTGCTCCACTTTTCAGAAAATGTGTGCTCAAACAGGCCGTTTGGAGATTTTCCCTTCATGACATCACAAAGGGCAGTAACCCCTCCCCCAGGTGGGTGGATTTATTTGTCCTTGTTTTAACTGTAAAGCACTTTGCTCATCCCAAACTCCAATCACAGAAATCAAAGCTGTGATCATTGATTGTGACTGATCTCATGTCTCATGAGAGATAATTGAGTCGGTATAAATCTCAGTAATAAGGGATGATTTCCACCCTGAGTGACAGTGATGGGACACATCTCCTCTTTTTTTGTCTTTATGTTGCAGAACACAGCGCCTCTCTGCAGATTTTAAACCTTCATCACATTCCTTCAGCTTCATGTCGAGATTCTGTCTCAGTGAAAACCTCGCAACTCAATCATTCAAACACTCACACCAAAACGACACACTGAGAGGAGACTGCACAGATAATTATCTCAATATGAGCTCTCATAGCATGCAGATATTACTCTGTGTGTGTGTGTGTGTGTGTGTGTGTGTGTGTGTGTGTGTGTGTGTGCGCGCGCACACAGAGATAATCAGTGAGTTTCTCATAAAGACCGTTTGTATTTTCTGCAGATTTGGTTTAATGACTCTCAGCGATAACCATCCTGTTTATTTTTAGACTTTATGCGGCGTTGATCCTGCTGCTCAGCGGCTCCACAAATATCCTTCATTAAAGTTCAGAGTGAAAAGTTTCAGCACAAGTTCCCTGTCAATGATGTCACGGCAGTTTGACTGTTACTGTTTGACAACTCCAACTGAACGAATGATGAAGACTTTCAAAGTGAAACTTTCTCTTTCCCTTCCTGTAAATGTGCACTAGTTCAGTAACTCCACGATGAGTGCATCATTTGATCAAACTTTAGAGACCAGGCGCAAGCATCACAATCTTACTGCAGCACAGAGCGGACACAGACAGAGACATCATTAAATAGGGGTGTAGTACAAAGACCGGGTCAGTCTGTAGTCTGATGTGAATCTGCAGTCCGGGCTGTTAGTGGAAGTTTTACGGTTTAGAGAACAGGGTAACACTAAAGTGGGACGTCTGCTGAACGGATTCATTTGGATCCAGAAGAATAACAACAAACGTCTAAATGTGTGTCAGCGCTGATGAAAGAGAAATTAATGAATACCCCGATGACCAGCCGGGACTCTGAAAGGACTCTGGCTGCCAACGAGACGATGCAGACCAGGAGGAGTTTGATTATATGTAAAACATCCTTAAAGTTAGAGGGATCCAGAGAGACTAAGAACTACAGAGTCTCAGGATCCTCTACTTCACTGATGTGCGTTTGAAACCGTCTTGTCTCAGAGATTCTGAGAATCTGCTCATACACATTTCAGCCCGACAGAACCTGACAGTAAAATGTCAGGTTTGATCACAGCATCATCATTTCTACATGTGCATCCAAAACGCTGTGTCAGGTGTCTGTCTCATCTGTTTAACTTAAATAAATATATATAAGATGTCTCTCTGACTGTGTGTGCGGATCTTCCTCCTCCAGCTGTGTCTCTGGCGCTCGCTCTGAACGGAGTCTTCACAAACACCATCAAGCTGATCGTTGGCAGGTACGATACAAACAAGACGTTTGATTTCTCTGTCAGTGATGGCCGGCTGTCAGACGGTTAATATAAGATGTACAAACAGTGACTCACTGACTTTCATCCACCTTCACTGTTGTGTTTGTTTTCAGACCCAGGCCGGATTATTTCCAGCGTTGTTTCCCGGATGGACAAGTGAACGCCAAGATGCTTTGCACTGGGGAGCCAGATCTGGTCTCTGAGGGACGCAAGAGTTTCCCCAGCAGCCACTCCTCCTGTGAGTGTCATCAGTGTGCTCGGATCACTTCGGGCTCACGATAACAAAACATTTTACAACTCACACTGACTCATTAAAACTGCATCAAACTGGCTGCTCGCTCTGCTGGAGCGCCAAGTCTGAGCAGCATTTCACTGAGCAGAAAACGTGCAGGACAGGTTTTTAATTTACAATTCAAAGTGACATGGACACGGCTTCCTCTCTTCACAGGCAAATACAAGATGTAGCTTTGGGATATATCAGATTTATACTAAAAAACCTCAGGACTAAGACATAAAACCAGCATGCAAGCACCTAAAGCTGTAGTTCCTCCAGTGTCCACGAGAGTCTGTCTCCTGCAGTGAGTCAGTCCCCATATAGCTCCATGTTAAAATGTACAACTTTACAGCTGCAGTTCCTCCAGTGTCCACTAGAGTCTGTCTCCTGCAGTGAGTCAGTCCCCATAGAGCCCCATGTTAAAATGTACAACTTTACAGCTGCAGTTCCTCCAGTGTCAACTAGAGTTTGTCTCCTGCAGTGAGTCAGTCCCCATAGAGCTCTATGTTAAAATAAACATGTTTACAGTCTGGTATAAAAACAGTTTGGGTCTCTGGAGCTCATTTCTCTCTTCAACTGTACGGGCTGAATGTTTATACAACTCACCTGTTTACATTATATTAAGGCTTAAAGGGATGTAGAATTAGGGGGCGTGACCTCTTTGAGTGACAGGTGGGAGCTGATAGCTGTCTTCTAGGTGTCAGCTAATTCAGTCCCTGACCTTTAACCTCTGGGCCGTGTTTGCGCTGTTGGAGCCTTTTGGAGATTTGTTCATGTAAATATCAGACTAATAATCTGTCTCTCTCTGTGAGCTTTATTGGACTAACAGACCGTCCATCAAGTCTGAGCTCTACTTTTTATGTTTAGTAGCTATCTGTGTCTGTGAGAAACATACCTGGACTGTTTGCTCGTTCACTGTTTGATTCGCGGCGGCCTCGTGCGAGGAGTCAGGATGGTTGTTGACTTTTCCTGAAGACGTTGTGTTGAAGTAAAGAAAAGTATTTTAGATTCCTGGTTTGTGTTTGTTCAGAGACGTCTCACTCTCTTTCACCTGGCGTTTAAATTAGTTTAGAAAGCTCACCTGCTGCCTCAGCTGCTTCCTCCCTCCTGCTGCATTCAGCTGTTCAGACTAATAAGGGACACTGGGCGTCGTTTGGACCATATTGCCTCCCAGGCTGTTTTCATTGCAGCAGAGTGTTTAATAATTCACGTGTTTTTCTGTTGTCCAGCAGATGAATGTGTAGCAGTTTGCATGCAGAGTTTGCTGTGGGCCACACAGCTGTTAAATAAACCCTCAGTGTTTTGTGGTCTGTTAGGCGTCTGATCTTTAAAATCAAAAGTCCATCCCCTCGATGAGACAAACAAACGTACGACTGTGTGTCTTTAAAGTTTCTGTCCTCTCTCTCGCTCGCCCTCGCCCTCACCCTCTCTCTGTCTTTGCTGAATAAAAGTCCAGCAGCAGTAAAATGCTTACACTGTAATAAACTGCCGCTCCTGCCATCTATTATGCAGAATGAAAAATAACTTTATATCCCCCAGTGAGCTGTGCACCAACTGTGTTCAGCCTCATTCTTTTATTGTTGTTGTTTTAGTTCTTATTATATTTAACGTCCAGCTGCACATTCACACACTGACTCATTATGCTGCACCAGTCAACATTTGGAGCTGCTTTTTATTTCATACTGTACGTATAAATGTAAATTTAAAGCAACAGTCTGTAACTTCTCCTCCTTCAGTCGTTTCAAAGTCGATCTAATGGAACAATAACCTCCAACAGGGAGAATGGCGTCTCTCTCATGTCCACAGAGCTCGCCTGTTTTCAGCACAATGTAACTTTGTCAGCGGACCGAGGTCATCTGGTGAGAAGTGTGTCAGTCTTAATGCCGCTAGTTCACACAGCAGCCTTCAGAAGAAGGAGCAGAGTGAGAGAGAGAGAGAGAGCGCAAGGAGCAGAGTAAACATCCCTGCAGATATTATTCAGAACAGATTGAGACGTAACGTTAGCCTGTATCATTAGCGGTGTCGTCGTTGTCTCATGTTTAGCAGCTTTAGCGGGTTTGATAAGAATAAATCAATAAATCCATCTGACACCAAAAAGTCGTCTCTTTCCTCGTCCATCTTCAAGTTAGCTTCAGATGTTTGAACCTTACAAACCTATCTCAACTAGCATGTTATAAATGAGCCTCTCTAATGTAGACATTTAGCCACAGCCTGTAGTCGTCATGGTAACAGCTAAATACACAAACACATACTACACATGCTAACAGTTAGCTAACAAAGGTTTGTAGCCGTCATGATAACAGTTGAATACACAAACACATAGGTCCGCCTTCTGATTGTCAACAGATGCACGCTGTCGATGAGGGGGAGGAGCTAACAGCACCATGTGTGTTACGACAGTGCCGTTGCCCTCTGAGAGCTCCGATGGGTGCAAGACTGAATTCCTTCATGATGTTGTTTTAACATTTGAGTTCAGGAAGACGTTTTGTTGTCGGGGGAGAAATGGCTTCTGCCAAGGATCATTACCGGTTAGATCCCTGCACCCGAGGCCGCGTGGCTCCTCGGTGCTGGCAGTGGATCGTCACTCTACCGCCCTTTACGTGACGAACCGTAAATCACAGGCTTCTAATCAAACATGGGATTAATCAGAGAGGACCCGTGAGAGGAGAAGATAATGGAAACCAGGGTGTAGAAAGTGTCTTTTTATGGATGTAGAAGTCAAAGTGTTGGGTTGAAAAAGCTGTAATTTCACGCTCTGCTCTGATTTCAAATGGCTGTTTTAGCCTCGTATCAAAGCTGCAGACTTGCAGCTCTCACACCTGATTTCAAGAGAAATCCTTTGAAGTGCAGACGCGGCCCCATTAGAGGCGGCGAGGAGGGACGCTGCTCTGTGATTCAGCACAGCGCTCCGTATGGATTACATCCATCCGCCCGACAGCCCTAATAGCCTTATGTTTTTACGCTGAGAGACAGGAAGTGATTGAGAGACGAGTGCGAAGGGACGCAGGGAGCACCAGCACGCCGTGGGGAGCAGAAGAAATCCAATTTCCTGTCTGCGTCCTTTTACACGGGACAAAGAGTTTGTCACCACACGCAGGTTACAGAGCTTTACCCGGACGAGGCTGCAGCACGCCGCACAGATGGTCAGAGTGAAGGCAGATGTATTCAAAGTGACATGTGAGTGTAAAGGAGCTCATCAGCATGCAGAGATGCCATCGTCTCCCTGCAGGGCTCTCTGTAATGTTCACGTTCAAAACAAATCCCAAACTAATCCTTCAGATGTAAATATAAATACACGCCGTGCTCTGTGTGTGACAGCAGCCATTCTTTAAAGCACACCAACTATTACTGCATGTCAAAGTGTTTCAGCTTTCTTTTCAGAGAACGCAGTTAGAGGAATTAAAGGCGACGTGCTGCAGAGCAAGGAAAACAAACAGATGAATACAAAGTCCCCTGAACGCACCGCAGCAATGCACACAGCGGTAAACAAACAGACCCTAAAGTGTCCATGCAACGTCTGCTTCTTATTCCTCTCAGCAGCTCCCCCTGAACACACTGTTAGAGGGGATCAATTATTCACACTTTAAAAAGTAATGAATCCTGAGAGACCGACCTGATCTCCACATCACTGCTAAATCATCGGTTTGAGATTAAACTTTAATGTTCATCCTCTGCACGACGACTTTTACATGTTTACTTTCTACTCTCCTCGTTTATGCTTCATACCTCTGAAATCAAACTGACGTCCATCTTTTTATCTCCCTTCTTGTATTTTAATGCCCCTGAGGGTTGACGAAACCACAGCAGAGGCTCAAGATGTGCAAAGAGCAGTAAACCTTGGAGTGATCATTTACAGTAAACTGAACTGTGTTTAAGAAGGGAAGCCAGCGATTCTCTGTTTCCCATCGACAGGACCTCCATGACCTTAATCTATATCCTGCTTCTGCTCGGAGGGATGGTATGGGAACCTGTCTCTTTGTGAAATGACACAAGAACGTAGTGACCCTTACTTTACAGTATCGTACTGTAACTTCACCAAACAGGTGTTTGTTGATGAAAGTCCTCAATGGAAAACAAGAGGAATTATCTGGACTATTATCCATCACACTGCCTGCTCAGCCTTCACTTTGGGGATTTCAATGATTCTGATAAACGAGCAGCAGAGCATGTCCAGCTCCACCCGCCATGACAGAGTCTCATGCACGCCGCTGGGAGTCAAGACCCAAAACGTGAAAAAGGAAACGCACGTTTATTCATTTACATTTGAGCAACAAGGCGATTCAAAGTGCTTCACAAAAAACAATCACAAAATAATTCAAACGAAACCTTGAAAATCAAAGAGAACAGACAATAAAATAAAAGAGTTATACAAACAGGTGAACGGGTGAACAAGTGAACAAGTGAACAAGTGAACAGGTGAACAGGTGAACGGGTAAACAGGTGAGCAGGTGAACGGGTGAATAGGTGAACAGGTGAATGGGTGAACAAGTGAACAGGTGAGCAGGTGAACGGGTGAACAGGTGAATGGGTGACTGGGTGAACAAGTGAACAGGTGAATGGGTGAACAAGTGAACAGGTGAACGGGTAAACAGGTGAATAGGTGAACGGGTGAACAAGTGAATGGGTGAACAGGTGAATGGGTGAACAGGTGATCAGGTGAATGGGTGAACAAGTGAACAGGTGAACGGGTGAACAGGTGAATGGGTGACCAGGTGAATGGGGAACAAGTGAACAGGTGAACAGGTGAGCAGGTGAACAGGTGAACGGGTGACCAGGTGAATGTGGGAACAAGTGAACAGGTGAACAGGTGAGCAGGTGAACAGGTTAGCAGGTGAGCAGGTGAACAGGTGAACAGGTGAACGGGTGACCAGGTGAATGTGGGAACAAGTGAACAGGTGAACAGGTGAGCAGGTGAACAGGTGAACGGGTGACCAGGTGAATGTGGGAACAAGTGAACAGGTCAA